CATCCTATATATACATATATACACACACTGTTCGCGTGTCCTTTTCATGTCTGTTTGCGCGCAAGTACAATCTACCGCGCGCTCGCATCATTGCGCGCCCCATGCGCGCATGATTCCCGCAGGCGCCACTCACGCCTGCCACGCGTTCGCAGTCTTGATATCTCGGCCACTGCGCCGCAAGCATGTGAACGGCGCGCGTCTGGGCCACGCCGAGATCTCAATCCGCGTGCATGCACTTGCAGCGCAAAGAATGAACCCGGCGGGAGGGGGGGGGGGGGGGCGCGGCGCGAAGGCCGCCCCCGCGTCGTGGAAAACCACCCGGGACTTCCACGTCGAGCATATCGCTCAGCAAGCGCATGGACCCCCGTTGAACTCCCGAGCACGCGCGCCAGAGCGCGGCCGGCCGCGCCCGCGCGCGACGCGCCTTCTGGGACCGCGCCGCGCTGCTCTGAGCGCATGGCCGATCCTTGAGCAAGGGGGCCGCTGCGCGACAAAATCAGCGCTCCGCTCCTCGGCCCAGCCCGGCCAGGAAGGCGTCGCCGCGCATCGGCAAACCTGCAGTCAGCGCGCGGCTGCGCGCCGAGGCGGTCCGCGGCGACGCGGCGCACCCGCCGGCGGAGTTCGTGGGCGGCCGCGCGGGGGCGCGGCTGCCGCGGCTGAAGAAATCCCTCAGCTAGAAGAGCAGGCAATGAACTGGGGCAATCTGGCGGACCGCGCGGTCGCAGTCTTTCTCGCGGTTCTCCTCGCGCTCGCTTCCGAGACCAATCCGACGGAGCGGATCAGGGCGCAAGCAAAGTAGTGGCCGATCTCGTCGCGCCCGTTCTGGCGCCCCAGGAAGTGCCAGTGCCCGACAAGGACAACGTGCGCCCGACAGCTCGCATGACCCCCTCCGGCTCGCGCTGGCACTGTGATCCACCGCCGCGCCGGCGGGGCTAAGGAGGTGATTCTGCAGATTTATCCACCGCGCCTGCAGGTCTCCAGGGGCGCGGCCTTCGACAGCCAGGCCTCGATGCGCTCGGTAATCACGGTCTCGAATTCGTCGCGAAGCCAGCGCTGGCGGAGGGCGCTGCAAAGCTCCCGGTGCGGGCGAGGTTCCTCGTCGTCAAATCGAACGTCGCGAGCCGCGCGATCGGCAATGGCGCCATCAAGTCTCGGATCTCGGTGGATACGACTGCATCCGTGCTGTGGGGAGCTGGCGACAACCGTCGAGTACCGCTGGACGACGGCCTCGGACGTCTGCCAGACAGGCGGCGACCAGCGCTGGAAAGCGAAGTCCACGAGCCCGACGGAGTGCTCCGCCGCGTTGCGGAGGCGGTCCAAGAACGGGTGCCACTGAGTCGACGCGTGGGCGGCGGCCCGCCACGTCGACCCGCGAGCTTCGGCCCCCGCGTCGACTTCGCAGCCACGGTGGGGAAACAGCTCGCGACGGACAAGATGTCTCGCAGCCTGAAGGTGCTCAGCAGCATCCGAAGCAAACTGTGCAATGAGTCGTTTTCCGTAGACATCAAAGCCCAGGGCGGAGAGAATAACTGGCCGAGGTGGGACAGGACGGGAAGACAAGACGTCGAGTACAGACGAGCGTTCGCGCCCACGGGGCCCGCCGTCGCAGACGCGAGGACAACCCTGTGCCGCCATTCGGCCGCTCGGCCGCGGCATCGCCCCCTGGGTCATCGTGGGCGGCCCCTTGTCACGCCAGAACGCCGAAGTACTCGCCCGAGGCAGCGACGCGGATGCCAAGCCACTGCGGTGCCAGCTGTTTGAGGAACTCCTCCACTTCGGACAGTAACTCGTCGGTCAACTCCGCACAGAGGAGGATAAGGTCGCTTCTCCTTGGCTCAAAGTGGGGGTTGCCCGGGTCCGCGGCTGCCTCGAAGAAGGCACGAAGCTTCGGAATTTGGTGGAATTTGGCAATCGCCACGGCCACGTCGTCAGCGCAGGCTGCGGCGAGTCCCTCCGCCAAGGTAGGGGCGATCAGAGCGCTGGCACGAAAAATTGGGTCCATGGCAGCAGCCCGCGCCGCGCCGGAGAGCGGGCAGCCCTGCGCCACCTGGGAATCAACTGAGCACAGGAGGTACAGCTGCCCATCCAACAGGACATAGCCAGTGGCGCGGTCGCACAGCGCGAAAAAGGTACTGAGGCATCCACGACGAGACCCAAATCGCGCCAGAGCTCCAGAGAGCCGCTGCCGCGATGTCGGACAACAGCAGAGCAGGCCTGTCGAGCTTTTCGCTGCAGGCGCCAGGCCGGCAACGCAGGACTCTGAGTCGATCGCGAGCAGATCGTGGCAGAAATTCTGGCCTCGGGCGAAGCCCTGCTGCACGATGTGGGCGTGCTCCTCCACCTGCGGCGCCATGCCGCGGCTGAGAGCGGACGCGATGATATTGGAATCCGCGTCTGTGCGCGTTTCCTCGTGGCGTGCCGAAGCGCGCCGGCCTCGCAAAAGGCAGCAGATCAAGTCCTCGTCCTCGGAGCCCTCCAGGATGATGGAGGAAAGCGACCCGCCTAGGCCGACGCGCGCACTCGAGTGCTCGAACACACCCCAATAGAGCTCCTCGAGAAGCTCAAACGCGCCATCCGAATTCAGCCATGCACTGTGCAGCAAATGGTCTGGGCCTGGCGTCGCGTTGGGCACGCGATGGCCGCCGCCCAAGGACCACTGCTGGTCGGCATCGGGATGTCCCAGGGTATGTGGGAATCAAGGAGGTACAGTCGGGGCGTTGACCTAAGGAACCCTTGATAAGGAACGAGGCCCCTTTCTCCCATAAGTTGAACTTCGATTTCCCATGGGAAACCTCAGGAAAACCGAAGGCAAACTGCAGAACAATCAAGGAGGACCGAGCCCCTCCCCAACGAGAAGGGTTCCTTCTTCAGCGCCCTGACTGTAATCCAACTTCGACTGGTCCACTGCCTTGGCTGCGAAGATCGGGGCCCAATGCTCTCTGAGTGCGGAAAGCATACCCTCCGGGTCCATCGCCACGGAGCGGCCGCCAACCAGGCCAATACCATTCAGCGAGAGCCTCGATGCAAACTGAGCCCAGAGGCGACTGCGTCGCTGGAGCGCCCGCTGTTGCCCATGAAGGTATCCAAACTCCAGTGAGCGGCTCGTCCGTGCTGAGAGGGGTGGTGCCATATGCTGGGCGTTCTGCTTTTGAGCGTGCAGGTCCTGGCGATGAGCAAACGCTGAATCTGGGGCAATTTCGCGCGCGCTGGTCAAAGAAACGCTTCCGGCAACGTCGACCTGCACATGCTTCTTGCTGAGCTCGGTGTGCGTAACGATGGAGGCCGGCAAGCGCGCCCCCTGCCGCCAAACGGCTCTGGAGATGGACCAGGAGATGATGAGAATAGCCTCCGCGGCAAGTTGGAATTTCGACCCCTGGGCATAGACATCAGCTGATTTCGACTAAGTTGAACCGCAGCCGTCACATTCGACTTCGTCCTCCATCTCATCGCCACCGTTCTTCACGCCACTCTCGTGTGTGCCTTGGGCAAGTGCAGGTTACGGGCGTACTGGGGCGTGGCGAAGATGAAGTCAAGGATGGGTTGGTTGCTATCCGTCTTTAGCGCGTGCTAGCGAATCGGGACCGAAATGATGCCGTGATCGCTCATGCGCCGGTCGTTGAGCTCTGCTGGCTCCCGACCTTGTGCGGGAGGGTTTCCGGGTTCAGAATCGCGTGCGAGGGACGACTGACGAACGCCCAGTCTATGCGCGTGGACCGGAGGAGGAGGAGGAGGAGGACCAGTGTAAAACCAAGAGTCACCAACGATGTTGGAATAAACCATCCCTCCAAGCTCCCTCTTCATAGGCCCCTATAACGGTTCTTTTCCATTGAGGAAACTGCATCTTTGGAAGACAACCGTTTGTAGACCCTGAAGCATGCCAAAACATATTTCTCGGGATTCCAGCGCCACGGATCAACCTGACTGTTGCGTCTTGACGATCCTGAGTCGTGCCAGAAGGCCACCCCTGGGATTACAACATCGCGAACCAACGTAACTGTTGCACTCGCACAATCCTGAACCCTTCCAAACAAACAATTTCTGATACGCTGATCATGGGAATCCGTAGAACTCTTGCACATTGTATAAGCGAATATGCGCGGCGCTGAAGCGAGAATCATATTTTGAAAAGGACCCAACCTCAACTCGTGAAGCTCTTGCACATGTTTGAAATGATTGTGCGCGGCGCTTAAGCCACATGTTGAAAACAGCCCGCCCTCATTCCGTAAAGCTGTTACAAATGTTTGGAACAAGTGTGCGCGGCGCTAGGGCGAGAGCCGCATTTTGAAAGCGGGTCCCCTTTCAATCCGCGAAACTCATGTGAAGTTCTAAAACGAATGCGCGCGGTGCTAAAGCGAGAGCTACATTTTGAAAACGACCCGTCCTCCATGTGTGAAACTGTTGCCAGTGCTGAAGCGTCAGAAGCCTAAGTGGTGAGGACGTCTCAAGCAAAACGCCCGGCCCGCCCTATGCGCTTGCCTCGGGGTGCGACAGGGGAACATCATTGATAAGGAGAAGGGATGGAGGAGGAAGAGAGCACGCGGCCAGGGGAGCATGCCCACAGCGTCACACTGCAGGCGGGGAGCCAGCCGCACCGCTGGCAGGCCGCCCACGGCCGCCGGAGGCGCAGTCGCCGACGAGGCGGAGGCAGAGAAGGTCACGGCGCTGGGGAGGCATGGGTTCACAGCTGCGGCCGCTACAACGGAGGCCTGTGCTGCGCGGAGACCCTGAGTTGTGACATGGAGCGTGACATAGAAAGAGTCTCCGAGGATCGCCTACCCTCTCTGGCTCGCGCTTCCGCAGCGACGTTGTCGAAGACCACGCAGTTTTGAGGAGCCAGCGCTGCCGACCACTTGTCAGAAGGCGCACAGCGACGCGAGCAGGCTCCATGAGAGCCTGCTCCTGCTCGAGGAGGCGGAAGGCGGAGGAGGAGGGCCACGACGACGAGGAGGACTACGTAATATCCTCAAACCTCGAGTCTAGAGCCCCCCGAGGCGGCGCACCTCTAGGCCGAACATCGGCTTGGTGAGGTTGCGCGCCCTCTGGCGCGGCTGGCTGCCCTCAACCAGCCTGCGCCCGCCCGCTCCCAGCTCTACTCCCTCCGCCACTGCTGCGCAGGCCGCCGTTCGCGGCCTCCTCCTCCTCCTCCTCCTCCTCCTCCTCCTCCTCCGCCTCCCCCTCGGCCTCCTCCACCTTCCCCTCGGCCTCCTCCACCTGCCCCTCGGCCTTTTCCAACTCCTCCTGCTCCACCTCATGCTCCGTTTCCTCCTCCTCCTCCTCCTCCTCCGCCTCCTCCTCCTCCTCATCCTCATCCTCCTCCACCTCGGCATCCGTAGGCTGCTGACTGCAATCCATCCCATACGGTTAGAGGTCGTCATAGGCATTATGGTTTGCAAATCTTGTGAAGCTCTGTGCCGAGCACGCCTGCAAGCTACTGTTCAGTGTAAGCCCCCGACCAAATCGGGCAAAGATGTCCTCTCCCGATTGCGTCGTGGCGTGCCTCCCCGATCAAGATATGCGGCCAGGATTGTTCCTGTGTTGCGCAATTACGACAGTGAGAGTAACCATAAACGATATGAAATCCTCCTCCTCCTCCTCCTCCTCCTGTTCCTCCTCCTTCTCCGCGGACTCCTCCAACTCCGCCTCCCGCTCGACCTCCACTTACTCCTCCTCCTCCCCCTCCTCCTACTCATCCTCCTCCTCTTCCTCCTCCTCTTCCATCTCGGCCTCCTCCTCCTCCTCGTCCTTCTTCTCCTCCTCCTCCTCCTTCTCCTCCTCCTCCTCCTCCTCCTCCCTATTCCTCTTCCTCCTCGTCCTCCTCCTCCCTCGTGTCTCCGCATCATACTCCTCCTCCTCTTCCTCCTCCTCCTCCTCCTCCTCCTCCTCCTTGACCCCCGATCCACTCCGATTCCCTCCTTCTCCTGCGCTCTCCTCTCCCCGCCCTCCTCCAGGTGGCTTAGCAGCGCGTCAGGCACCTGACCCGCCCGTTCACCTAAGCCCCCAGCCCGCGCGCGCGGGCCATACACGCGTTGTCCGTCGCGCTCGACTTGCGAGTGGAATTCGATTTTGATGCAGCGTAATTGTAGATGCAGGTGTGGAGTTACTCTCGAACTTCACAACCCCAACAAGAAGAAGGCTGGCAAGGGCAAGGGGAAGGAGCAGACCGAGCTGTGGCTTGGGCTGCCAGCGTCACCAGCTACGGGGGTGGCCTCGCAGGATTCCGCGGTTATCTTGCAGCAGGCGATCCAGGTGGCGAAGGACCCCGCGCTCAAGCTGGCCCTCCAGGCGGCGCTGGCGCAGCAGGCTTCGCCCACGGCCAAGCCAGCCATCTCGGCGGGCGAGGCCCACAGGCGAGCGGAGGCGGCGTGGCGCGATGCCAACGCGAAGCACGACGCGGCGGTGAAGGCCGTTGCGAGGGCTACCGACCAGTTGGCGCAGGCGCAGCAGCGCGAGGAGGAGACCGTCAGGATCTTGGCGCAGGCCGAGTTCGCCAAGAGGACGGCGGTACGGGCCTTGGCGGCTGAGGCAGGCATGGACGAGCCTGGCAAGACGCAGTCGCCTGAAAAGACAGGCCCTGGCAAGAGTGACTTTTGTTTCGATGTAGTGTGGGATGAGAGCTTCTTCACTTCGCTCAAGGACGGCGCCCTTGAGTGCGAGGACGGTGAGAAGCAGGAATTGTTGCAGTTAGAGAAGGACCTCATGGCTGCCAAGGGTGTTCTCGGCGAGAAGGGCGACAAGGTGCGCGAGTGGCACTCGCGCATGGAGGCGCTCAAGCAGCAGCTCTCGGAGCGGATGAAGAAGAAGCGCAAGGGTCTGGACGGCAACGCGCAGGGCGCGACGCAGCAGCCGTCCGCCGAGGCCCCCGCCGAGGCCCCGCCTGGCGCTTCGCCCGCGGCGGCTGACGGCGAGTCGCCCGAGGCAGTGCAGCAGCGGATCGACGCGGAGGTCGAGCGGACCCGCAGCGCCAAGGCGGCGGCGGCGCAGGCGGCGGCAGCGACTGCCAACCAGGCGGCCCAGGCAGCGCAGGCTGCCGCGGCCAAGGGCGGCGGGCGCGGCGCTGGGAGTGGCGCTGGCGCGTGAGGAGGAGCGGCCTCCGCGGCGCCTCAGCCTGGGTGGTGCGAGGCGGCGGGGGCCGATGCGGTGGCACAGCCAGCGTCCCCTGTGGCTGGTGCTGAAGCTTGCGCTGAGGGCGCAGGGGGACATGCTACGACGTCGCGTGGCTCTTCGGCGTCTTTTTCGGGCGGGCTGGACCCCCCCACACCTGCGGCACCTGCCTCTGTTGCCGTGGGCCCTCCAAAGGAGGCTAAGGGGGGGGGATCGCCCAGGGCCCCAGGTACCTCGATTTCGGGTTCGTCTCGGGGCTCTTCGACCTCGGGAACGGCCGCGGCGGCCTCTGGAGCGCCGGCTACGCCAGGAGCTGAGCAGCCTCAGCTTGGTGTTAGCGGCGCGGCGGGGGGCAGCTGTGGCAGCGCATCTGGCCACTCTTCATCGTCTGGGGGCAGCGAAGTGGTTCAGATCTTTTTCTCGAATATCACGATGTTGGGTCGCAAGTCTTGGGACTACGTGATGCACCTTGCTCAGAGTCAGGCTTTTCAACACTTGGCGCTGTGCGAAACGCATGCAGGGGTGACTGCGACTAACACGTGGACCAAGTTAGCTCGACAACACAATAGGCTTCTCTCTAACGCTGCTAGGGCTACGGGGACTCGTTGCCGCACGGAGTCAGGCAAGCTCAGAGCGACGGAGGGAGGAGAAATGTTCATCTCGCAGGGTCATAGGCAGGCACACGGACTGTGCAGCGGTCGTTTTGCCGAGCTGTATGTGGAAGGACAGAAACAGTTGGACGGGTTCTTGCCAGTTGTTGTCCACCAGCAGGGATACAGCATTGTGATCGTGGTCTTATACGGTAGGTGTAGTCTTGGCCTGCGAGCAGAAAACTTAGCTAGATTCGCTCGGCTCGGCACGCTTTTGCAAGCCCTTCAACTCCCTTGGGCTGTCTTGGGCGATTTCAATTTACCCTCTTCGGAGCTCCAGCGTTCGGGCTTCCTGTCCAAAATAAGGGCGTCGGCGCTGCAGGCCCCGTTGAGCACGCGTGCGTGGGGGCCAGCGGAGCGTCTCACATTGATTTCGCATTAGTATCTAGAGCGGCGGCGCCTTATGTCTTGGGGCCCCAGGCCATCCAGGACGTTCCATGGAAGCCGCATTGTGGGTTAGTTTTGCAGTTGCGAGGGGCTGGCGAGCAATTGATAGCGCGTTCGCTCATCTTGCCTCAACGTCTTGCTCAGGTCTCTCGCCCACAGCAGCAGGAGACCCCAGGTTCGAAGTCTTCCCAGGCGCGGCGAGCCAATGTGTTGCGCCAGAGTCTTGCCCGTGAAAAACAATTGGAACGCTCGTCTCAGTTGTTTGGGGATTTGCTGGTGGACTCTCAGGTAGCTTCTGCCCTTCCGTCGACAGCCTGCCCAGGCGCCAGGGGACTTGGTTGAGCCTCCCGCTGTCGAGCCTCTCGCCGACCCCGAAACCTGGGAGGGGTGCCGCGTAGGTTTCTGGGACGATGAGGTGGATCCTTGGGCCGACGAGCCCAATTTTGTTGAACCCCTCCGTCCTCCCCTCTCTTCCCCGGCCTCGCTCCCCCCCCCCCCCCAAACGGAGTGCCGGGGGTGGCTAGTGCCGCTGCTCTTGCGCCAGGTGGAGCCTCGGTTGTGCAGAGGGGTGCTCCAGTGAATTCGCCTGACCTAGGTTCGTCCACGAGCGAAGTCACGGATGACAATGTTGAGACCCCCCCAGTCGAGATCGACCCGTCTCAAGAGGCAGCAGGTCAGTCCAGCTCCCGCGGTGGCACTCCCACCGTTCCGCCCTCCTCCGCTGCTGCTGCTGCTTTTGCGCTCTCGCCCGACCGCTGGCGTTTGGCTCGAGCCCGAGTGGGTTTCCATCTTCGCACACCTGACCGAGTCTGGGCACCCATCCACGACTCGCTTTCATATGCAGTTGGGGGCCCTCATGTGCTCAGCGTGAGCGGGGCCTTCTCAGCTTGGATTGCCACGGTTGAGGCAGTGCGCCACGAGCACGCGGGCACGGATGGTGGAGGCTCACCCTCTCGGTCGGAGGGCCCGCCCATGAGGATTGAACGCGTGCACCACTCCCAGCACCACCGAGACATGCCCTTCAGGGGCGCGATTGCCAACTGGTGGGAGAGGGTGAACGTTATCTTGTGTAAAGTGGCGCGGCACGGACGTCGAGGGAACGGGGCAGCTCAGCTTCGCGATCTTGCGCAGGCGGGGCAAACATTGAGTTTTCAGGCCCCTGATGGAGTTCAGAAGTTGGTTGGTGCAGGCCCTTCGGCTACCTCCTGGACGGTCTGGCGGCAGTTGTTGCAGGACTTGTCCAGCGTGCCGCCCCAACAGATGGAGAATTTCAGCAAGGAGGCGGCGGCCATTGCAGGCAAGGCGCGCAACCGTGCCATCTCTGCCTCCATGGCCGATTTCAAAGCATGGATTACCGATAATTCTACCACGGGCGCTATCTGTAGGGCGACCAAGGAGGCTCCGCAATCGGCCGAGCAGATCGAGGTTGGCAATGAGATGCTCTACCACCCCCATCACTTGGTGGACCACAGAGCGGCTCATTGGCATCAGCTGTGGACATCGGGAGGTCAGGAGCCGCGGCGAGGTGCTGGCGCTCTTCGATACCATTCACACTCGAGCACGGATGGAACCTCTCGACCCGCTCGATGTGGACGACCTTCGGAGAGCGTTTCGTGCCATGAAGGCGCGAGCAGGGCAAGGCATCGACCGCCTGCCCCCGCTCGACCTAGAGCGATTACCTGATGAAGCGGTGGCCGAACTGGCCGAGCTTCTCAACATGTTCGAGGAGTGTCAGACTTGGCCTTGGCAGTTGATGGGAGTTCTGGGCCGTTTATTACCCAAGAAGGCCGAGGGCCAGTTTCGCGTGATTGGCTTGATTTGTGTATTATGTAGGGTTTGGTCGTTGGCGCGTGAGCCTGTAGTCCAAGCATGGGCTCAGGCCGAGCAGCCGTCGTGGGATGCAGCAGTGCGAGGGAATTCTTCCCTCAA